TGTCCCCATCATCCTGTTGTTCATTCTGCTTCACATAAGTATAAACCACCATTTCTAAGTATTGAAAAATAGTGCCAAGACCATCTTTCCCTCCTTGTTTTTCTCTTTCATATTTTTGATATATAAGTTTCAATCCATCCACAGATGATGCTATTGTGTAGAGAAAAAGTTTTTCCAAACAACCACCCAGATGTTTTAATCAGAAGTAATTCTCAAAGGTTCCAAAATCACCAAACAATCCAAACAGACTATTTCTTTTAGATACCTTCTTCTTCTTCACTTTCTCTTTCTGGGGTTAAAGTAATCACAAAGTTCCTTTTCAAATATATTTTTTGGAAGTTTTTAATGTTTAACAACTCTTTGCAATTCTAGGCAATCTTCTCCTTATTTTCAAATTTTGCTCCAATTATTTTCCCTCTCCCTTCCCACTCACAGCCAAAAAAGTTTTTTTTTTCTCCGCTGTCACTTTAGGAAGGAGAGTAGAACAAAGAAAAAACTTTCCCTTGTAAAGTATCCGCAGCTTGTAACTCTCACTAGGGACAATACATACTTAGCAGCCTTCAAATTTCCAGGTCACTTTCTCTTGTCTTGTCCCGGTTAGAAGCAACTTTCACTGTTCTTCCAGCTTTCTCCCTCCTGCACCTGCTTGTCCAGCTGCAGCTTTCTTCGTGGCGGCCATTACTGACCGCCATTCCTCCGCCTCAGGAAAAGGGGGTTTAGCCGGCTGGGGAGGGGGTTTGCGACACCCCCCAGACCCCTTGCCGGATCCCCCCTGTCTTCAGCTGGCTCTACAGGGCAGCTATATCCCCCAGATCCAAATGGATCGGGGGAACCTTGGTGGTGAACGCAGCAGGGATCGCGCGGTCGCGAATCCCTGCCGCCGCCAAAAGCTTGCAAACCGGAAGTCTAAAAAAAACATTCTGATTTGCCAAATATAATATATTTCTATAGTATTTGGGAAATGTATATTGCCGCCATGGTAGCTCAAAGTGGCTTACAGAAATAAAACAAAATATAAAGTAATGAAAAGTAAAAAAAATAACATAATACCACCACCCCCGGCAACAACACATACTCATAACAGCCATTTAATGGGCTCTACCCTAGGTTCCTGGGCAGAACCATGTCTCCAGGGCCTTCGGAAAGACAGAGTCCAGAGAGATGATGTTCCAGAGGGAGGCAGCCACCACAGAGAAACTCCTCTTCTGAGTTCCGACAGATATTATCTCCTTAGAGGATGGGACTCACAACATTCTTTGCCAACCAGCACCTTGAAATGCACCCGGAAGAAAATTGGCAACCAAATTGGCAACCAATCCAGCAGGAGAGGTGATACATATGCACACCAATGTCTACACAAAACCATGCAGGTTGCTGCAATTTCCACCAACTGGAGCTTCCAGATACTTCCCAGGGTAGCTCCCTGCAGTGGGTGTTGCGATATTCAAGACAGAAGATGACCAGGGCATAATTGACCACGAGTAGGAATTGTTGGTCCAGGAAAGGCTGTAACTGGCTCACAACCCACAGTTGCACAAAGGTTCTCCTGGCCATGACTGCCACCTGCTCTTTGGGTAGGAGTTGCAAGTCCAGGAGAACCCTCAGAGTACACATAGGGTCTATTTGGGGCAGTGCCACCCCATCCAAGACCAAAGATGGCAATTCTCCATGAACCAAGAACTCCAAACCCAGAGCCAGGGTTCAGTTTCCACCCATTATTCCCCATCTGGCCCCTAACAGCCTCCAGGCACTGTGAGAGAAATCATGGCATCACTTAACTCAACATGGACTGATATATGCAGCTGAGTATCATCAGCATACAGATGATATCTCAAATCATGGTGGTGGATGATCTCACTCAACGGCTTCATGTAGATGTTGAATAGGAGTGGAGAGAGTACCAATCTTTGTGGGACCCTGCAAAACACTGGGCAAAGGCTGGATCTCTCATCTCCTATTAACACAGAATGAGAGTACAGAGGAAAGAAGTGAACCAGGATAGCAAAAAATCTCCCACTCCTAACCCCCAAAGTCGCTCCAGAAGGGTACCATGATCATGGCATCAAAAGCCATCGAAAGGTCAAGTAGAGCAAGGATGGATACACTACACCAATCCTGCTCCCACCAGAGATAATCAAAATGTGCGACCAATGACGTTTCTGTCCATATCCAGGTCTGAATCCTAATTGGTAGGAGACTAAATAATCTGTTTCATCTAGAAACCTCTGAAGCTGCCGCGCAACCACCTTCTCAATCACCTTGTCCCAAAAGGACGATTGGAGACAGGTCTGAAATTATCCAACAGGGTGGAATCCAACAATGGCCTCTTTAAAATAGGGTGGCCATAGCCTCCTTAAACTGCTGGGGCACTTTCCCCTCCTGTAAGGAAGCATTAATCTCTGCCAAACACCACCTGCATGTCGCCTCCCAGGAAGCTTTCACAAGCCAGGAGGGAACATGGGTCCTGTCTACTTCCTCAGGAACAACAGGGTAAATGTTCCCAGATAACAGGGCAGGTACCTGCCCCCAGGGGTCTCCACTGGACCAATATCATGCTGGCATTTAACTGGGAAAAAGTTGAGTTATTCTGTCTTCCATAAAATTCACAAATTCCTCATCACACCCTTCAGACGGACCTCAATCTCCTCCTTCCCTAAGTGGAGATGGCTCACCTTAAAGCAGGTTGCTTATCCATTATCTGCAGAGGCAATTAGTGTGGAGAGTTATTTATACGGATGAATTGCTAGAAGGTAGGCTTAATAGCAGCTATTACCCATGTTTGATCAAGTTCATCCTTTGTCTTTTGCCAGATTTTATGTTCTTTTCAAAAAAAGACAAATCCTCTAATTTTAATAGGAAGTCTGGAATAGCTGTAGTGACCCTGTTTCTAAAGGGCAAAATTTCTATAATCCAGCCTTCCTCAACGCTATGCTTTTCTAATCTTTTGGCATTCCAATTCCACAATTCCGATCCATCATGGCTGGGAATTCCCATCCCAGCATATCTGGAGGATGTCATGTTCAGTAAGGCAGTCCTACACTGTTTTTAAGACATCCAGCAAAAGTTTGCTTTGTCAAATATCAATAGTTTAGAAGTCAATTTAACAGAGAACCTAGGCCTTCACTAGTTTGTGGACTTTAATTCCACAATTCTCAACAAGACGATGATTGCTGAGTATTGTGAACTTTTAGTGGATATACAAAAGAAGCTGGATGAAATTTAAAATTAAAGGAAATGTAAATGATAAACCAAGAAAATGATCTGGTGATTTTTTTTAAATAGGTAATCTTCCTTTAATGACCATTCAGCAACTGTTCCAAGTTGTGGAGATGCTGAACAAATAGTACTTATGCCCAGTCCTCAAAGTTATGGCTCCCAGTCATATGGCCAAAATTTGGATGTTTGGCAAACAGCATACAATGACAACCAAAGCAATCAACTTTCCCCAGCTGTCTATCTATCCCCTCCCCACATACACACACAGATCTCTACTCTGTTGGACACCCTGCACAGTGGTACTCCTCAGCTGGGATTGAAGTATGGGCCTGGGGCTTTCAGCAATCTCAGCCAGCTGCCCCTGCACCCAAGGCCTCTACTTTAACCTCAACATTGCTACCAAGGAATACCATCTCAAGCACTGCATGTAGCCAGCCATTTTATCACCACAGCACAAAGACTCACCAGCACATTGTCCTGTCCTCCATAGGCCTATCACACCCAACTAATCTTTCCCATTTTTTCTGGCTGCTGCTGAGACGTGCCTGACTTGGACCTATGTGAAATAGCTGCTGGCTATATCAGGCCTTCTTCCAGAGGCCATCTGCACCCTTCTTCAAATAGTATGTGCTGCTTTTGGAAAGGCTTTTGAGGCTGTGGCCACCATTTTCCAAATAGTACAGCTTTAAGCATTTAAAGATCCTTGAAATAATTTAAATCAATAAGGCAGGCAAGAAGGCCAAACTAATTATTGAATTTCTTTTATTTAGATTTAATTTTGATAGTTTTGTCTTTCCACGCATGCAGCAGAATTCTCAATGTGTCCCATATTTATAGGTATAGGAATGATTGAAGTTCCATGTGTTTAACACCAACATCAAAACATTTCTTCAATCAAAGTAGAATGGCATTACAACAAACAATGAGTATAAAAATGGGGACAACTTTGAAAACACAAATCCACAAAAACAGCAGCAATAGGGTATTTTGATTATTACCTGAAATAATTGAGGCAATGCTTTTACCATTGTGTAGCACCATATTCCCACTTTACATGGAAGTAGGTCCCGCCACTGTGGTTTTTCCACCAGTCTGCAGAAAATACATTTAAAGAAAAAAACAGAAATTACCAGTGGTGCTTTTTCAGCCAACTAGGAATAATAAAGATTCAAAGTAAGTAGCAGCATATCATGGGAATATGTAGGTAGTTTTATTCAGTGTGTAACTACAAAGACAGATCTCTCTTAAGATTGGTTTTGCACATTAGGCTTGTTTGTATCTCTCAAAAAAAAAGTATTCAGCTTTTTTTGATGATTGCAGAGAGAGGGAGGGAGGGAGAGAGGGAGGGAGGGATATTACGCTTCACCAAACCAGTTTCAAGTGTTGACAACCAGTTATGAAGACTGTACTACAAGCAAGCCAATACATAAAAATTAATGTCATTTGCCATTCACTGAAGCATTACTTAATGATGTCATAAGAATGGAGGATGGGAAGAATGTTTTCTGCTCTTTTTCCCTGCATTGATTCAGTTCATGTTCCTGCTGTGTGAATTATTTAAGACTTTTATTTCTTTCTATAATTCAACAAAAGAAAATATGGTATCTTCTGGAGCATTCTGAATGTCACTATTTCCTCCCCTATGGTTTGTTAGCTCCAAAAGTGAAGTAAAAGTAAAACATTTTACTAATCTTTTACTTTTAAAGCTAAACTGTTTCGAACAAAACTAAAGTAATGAGAGGATCATAGCAAAGACCATAGCAAGGATCAGGTATTATGTAATATCACTGAACATCAGCCTTCTCTTAATTCTTCTCCTGAAATTAAAAGAAAATCTAAATTAATATTTCTTATTAAAATTCTATACAGACTTTTGTGCCTCCTGAAAATTCTTCCAAAATCTGTATTCATTTCTTTATATTTTCAAAATTCATTTCTATCAATTATCATCTATAACTTCAGCACTTTTAAAAAATAAAATATAAAACATATTTCAAGAAAAACAAAAACATTCCCAAATCTTATTTTTAGTGTGTTCCTCTTGTATGGAAGGAGCATTCTTCCAGAAGAATTTTCTAAGTTCCCACCTTTCACTCTTCTCTACACCAAATTTCACTTCATCACTATTCTTCCCTCCAGATCTTTTCTTCTTCTCCTTCTTTTTTCTACAAAGCAGCTCATCCTATGGAAGAAAAGAAGAAAAGAAAGAAGGTTCCAAAATTGTTAGGAAAACTCTGCAAATAAAAATAAAAAAGGGCAGCGGCTGCTAATTATTTTAAAGAAATCATTAACAATAAGTGTTTCCGTGTTAGTCACTCTTTAAAACACTGCTTCCCAAACTTTTTTCTTCATTTCCAAAACTACTTTTCAGAAAGTTCTTAAAGTAGATAAAACTTTAAGTAAATTTAAATGTCCCTGTTGGAATTGGATGTGTTCATGTGTCATTACCCAAAGAAAAATTACTTTTATCCAACTCTGTATAATTTACCCAAGTTTGGGTAGGACTTTCTTAAACACATATGATCTCCAACAGTCAGGTATGTTATATTCACATTAATCAAAACTGTCCCTTTTTTTACAGTTTTAACATATTCTTCTCATTCAAAATTGTATAACGTGGTTCTGAAAATATTAAAAAATATATAGATAGCTTAACTCCTGAAGAGTATTGAAAATGCAAAACCAAATTCAAACATAAATAAGAATGTTCTTTTTTTCTTTCTGGTAATCAGGAAGGAACCAGCATTTAAAACATTTCTTTACTTCTGTCATTTTCCATTTGAACCCCGGACTATTTATGTACAATTTGTGGGGTGTAGAGGGGACCCTCCATTAAGAGTGAGTATAAATTTCAAAAGGGGGGGGGAGAAAGGAGTAAAAAAGAAAGAAAAGAAAAAAAAAGAAAATTTAAACTAAATATCAAGGAAGGGAATTAAGCTTGAATTGGTTTTTCAACTCTGCTTCCTCTGACATCAGATCTTGATATTAGAACAAAAAGTAAAATATTTATGTACTTCAAAATGATCATAATCATTTAAAAAGCTTCTAGAGGAGGGAAGGAGAAAATACTTTTTCTTTTCTTTTTAGGACTATTGTTGTCAGCATGCAATCTGAAAGGCTAATTCAGACAAGAGCCTTTATATCTGCATGTATAAAAGACAGAGCATGATCAAGATTCCTGAGCTGTGCCAAGACATTTTGCCGCTTGAAGCAATAAACAAGATGGTGACAGAGACAGTAAGAAGCTGACTGGACAGACAGAGGAATCTAATTTTCAACATTGTCCTATCATCAATGTCCTCCACTACACTAATGGAGTATTGCATTTATAGCCCTCTCTGCTGTCTCTTCCAATCCTCACTCTTCCATCCCCCATTTCCCGGATAAAGCTACCTGTTTCTCTCTTTGCCTCCCAACAGATTAACTATTAGTGTTAATAATGAGACATTAATGCTTAATTCAGAACACTGAACAATTCTTGATGATTTTAGAGCAAGCTTACCAGTTGTTTTTCCAGGTAGATAGACCAAACCACGGCATAATGTCCTACTGTGAGGATAATGAACAGAAGTAATGCCAACTCTTCATTGCTCATTTTCCTCACTCGCCTGTAATAAAATACAGGCTGTCGCCAATCTGGTAGCCCATTGATCAGAATATCATCATACCTAGGGCAGTAAAAACAAACAAGCTCTCATAATGCATTTAAAATTAACCTATTTCCTTCTTTTTTAATGAGACAGATATGGCTATTTTGTTTCACTCATCAGATATTTTGTTTTTAACAGAAAACTCCTACAATTATATACCTTGTTGACATTTAATCTGAGTTCCTAGGATAAAATTTCGAACCAGATTGCTATGGAAATGTTTACCACTGATTACTTTAAAAATGGTGACTCTACTGTTCTTACAGCTCCCCCAATTGATTCACGGGAGAAGTGTTTTTTCTCAACAATAAACCACATGTGTTCAGCCTACCTGCCAATCAAGGGTCATGTTGTGAGAATAAAAGAATTACAAAAGGATGATTGTAAGTGGAAAGGCAAAGACTACCAAAATCATTTATTGGCTATATTTCCTTATTTATAGCCATATGTAGAAAGGGCGTTGGTACTTACCTGACACGCCCGTTCTCTTTGAGCTGTGAAGAGCATCCAGTAGTGGGAGGTGCTTCAGTCTCTGCTGGGCTTAATTTGTGGAATGCTCCTCCTCCTCCTCCACGGGACTCCTCCCCAGCTTTCCCCAGTTTTGGTGAAGACAAGAGAAATAAAGGCCCTCGTCCTCAATTCCCTAACAAATTTGTTGGCCGAAACAGGACCCCACCAGACGGAAAAAGGGTGGGGCTGGATGCTCTTCACAGCTCAAAGAGAATGGGCGTGTCAGGTAAGTACCAATGCCCTTTCTCCCATGAGCTGTTCAGAGCATCCAGTAGTGGGACATACCAAAGCTTGGCCTGTCCTACAGGAGGGACTCCGTCTGGCCTGGAAACCCCTCCTGGTCCCTGTGGACCCGTTGCAGAACTCTTCTGCCAAAGGAGGCCTCAGCGGATGCAAACACATCTATTTTATAATGCCTAGTGAAAGGCGATGGAGAGGCCCAGGTTGCAGCTCAACAAATTTCAGTTATTGGTGCCTGTGTGGCCCATGCTGCCAATGTTACAGCGCTCCTTGTTGAATGAGCTGTTATGCCCCTGGGCACCTGCAGTGATTGAATCTGATACGTTTTCGCTATCGCGGCCCGTAGCCAACGGCCTATTGTAGAAGTTGAGACCTTGCATCCCTGAGGCTTCAATTTTTTTGAAAGTTGCTGTGCAGTTAATATATATTCACAATGCTCACCTCACATCAAGCCTATGCCATTGTAGTTCCAACCCTTGGGATGGTCTGGGACAAAAATTAGGAAGTATCAGCTCTTGTGCCCTATGAAAAACTGAGTTAATTTTGGGAATAAACGTAGGATCAGGACGAAGGACCACCCAGTCAGAATGGAAAACACAAAGATCTTGTCTGATAGACAAAGCTGCAAGTTCCGAAATACGACGAGCAGAAGTGATCGCTACAAGGAAAACTACTTTATACATCAGAAATTGGGGACTTGATGATTTCAAGGGTTCAAAAGGGCCCTTAATGAGTGCGACGAGGATCCTGTTAAGGTCCCAGGTGGGATAACGGTGTACCGCTGGAGGGCGTAAATTTGTGGCTCCTTGAAGGAAACACCGTATGCGTGGATGATGGGAAAGAGATAGTAGACCTTCACAAGTGAGAACTGACGCCAAGGCCGCCACCTGTCTTTTCAACGTATTAGGTGATAATCCCTTGTGAAGTTCCTCTTGCAAGAACTCGAGGATTTGAGCCACAGATGGAGAGATGGGATCAATTCGAGACTTGGTACACCATTTGCAGAAACTGGACCATGTGGCATTGTAAATGCGAGTTGTTGAGGGGCGTCTGGCGGCTTGGATAGTGGCGATAACTCTGTTGGAAAACTTTTCACTCTTCAGACAACTCCGCTCAACCTCCAGACGGTCAGGTGCAACCATTGAGGGTCCGGATGTTAAAGGGGTCCCTGGGTTAGCAAGACCCTGTCTGGTGGAATTCTCCATGGTGTTGATATGGATAGACTGCGGAGGTCTGCAAACCACGGCCGTCTGGGCCAGTAAGGAGCTACTAGAAGCAGCTCCACCCTCTCGTCTAGCAGTTTCTGGATGACCTTGGGAAGCAGTGGAAATGGCGGGAATACATACAGAAGTCCTGGGGGCCAATGACAGCGGAGTGAATTGAACTTCTCCACTCCTTGCGAGGGGTACCTGGAAAAAAAATCTCGGGAGCTGAGCGTTGAGGGGGGAAGCAAACAGATCCACCACCGGCTGTCCAAATGTCCTGACCGCCTCTTGAAACAGGGTCGGGTGGAGGCGCCACTCCGCTTGATCGATCGTGGCCCTGATTAGCCAGTCTGCCTGTGTATTCGACAGGCCCGAAATGTGCTCTGCTCTGATGGAAAGTAGGTTGCTCTCCGCCCAACGACACAAGCGCTCCGCTTCCCGCATGAGATGTTTCGACTGTGTGCACCCCGTTTGTTTATGTGAGCTTTGGCTATTATGTTGTCGGTCAATATTAGTATATGCTGATTGCGTACCTGTGGAAGGAAGCTGCGGAGAGACAGGTGTACTGCTCGAAGCTCCAGCCAGTTTATGCTGCACGACTGTTCTATGGCGGACCAGCGGCCTTGGGTTGTGAGCGATTGAACGTGCGCTCCCCATCCAAACAGGCTGGCATCGGTGGTGATGGTAAGTCTGTGTGGCTCTTTGAAGAGGCAGCCTCTGTTGATGACTGGTCTGGTCCACCAGAGGAGAGATATAAGGACCTTTGATGGTACCCTGACCTTGTATTTGGAGTTGCTTCGGCCAGAGCACTGGTACGGGAGCAGGAACCACTGGAGGGATCAAGTGTGGAGCCGGGCCCAAGGGATGATAGATATACATGAGATCATCTTGCCTAACAATTTTGATAGTTCCGTTAGGGACACCCTCTTAAGACCCCTGATCTCCTTAACTAATTGCTGAATGCTATTTAGTCTATCTAGTGACAGGTAAACTTTGCCTTCCACTGTATCTATGACTGCCCCCAGATGGGTTAACGGAGTCAGTGGTGTTAAATGACTCTTTTTCCAATTTATTGAGAACCCGTGTTATTGTAAGGATTGTAATGTGTTCTGAGTATCTCTGACTGCTTGATGATAGGAAGATGACAAAATCAAGATGTCATCAAGATAACACTGGAGTCGTATGGGGATATCATGGAGATGAGCAGCTAGCGCTGTGAGAACCTTCGTGAAGGTCCTGGGGGCAGAAGCTAATCCGAAAGGAAGGGCCACATATTCGAAATGGTGGTTATTATAACAGAATCTCAGAAATTTATAGTGGGAAGGCCGAATAGTAATATGTAGGTACGCCTCCATCAGATCTATGGACGTAAGTACATCATTCTTTCTGATGCAAAGTAAGATAGATTGCAGGGTGTGCATTTTAAATTTGCGATATACTAAAAATTGATTAAGGCGTTTCAAATCCAAGATTGCTCTCCACCCCCCCACCCCCACCCCCCCAAACTTTTGGGAACAACAAGAAGATGTGAATATAAACCTCGCCCTCGTTGATTGGTAGCTACTGGTTGGATGGCTCATATGTTCAGTAGATGATGGATAGCTGTTTCCATAAGATTACGTTTAACCGGATCTCTGGAAACAGGGCATGACATGAAAAAGTCTGGGGGAGTGGATTGAAACTCCAGTGCAAGACCAAATCTGATCATGTCTCTGACCCAGGAATCAGACATTGAGGAGTCCCATCGGTCTGCAAATAATTTAAGGCCGGGTCCGGGGAGTTATCTTGGATGCCGGAAAGACCTATTTCCTGCTCCTCGAAAGGATCTCTTTGATTGGCCACCCCTTCTGTTCCTATCCCCGAAGTCGGACCTCTCTGGCTATTGCCCTGGTCGGAAAGATGGGGGTCTCTGGTATCTGGGTGAGAAGAATCCCTGATAAAAGGGCCGAAAGGATCCCCTCCGAAAGGACTGAGGGTTTCTAGAATCTGACTTCCGAAAAAGGGAAGGTAGAATTTTCTTTTTGTTTCGGGTTTTGATTAGCAGCAGGTCGAGGGCAGGGCCAAAGAGTCTGTCTCCCACAATAGGAGATGAAGCCAGCTTGCATTTGTGCTTAATGTCTGCTTGCCAATGTTTTAACCATAGTAAGCATCACGCTGTGACATGTGAGGTAATGGCCCTGGCTGAAAACTTGACCGCATGATAAGTTGCGTCAGCTGAGAATTCAGCGGCTGCTATAAGTTTTGCAATATCTTGGTGCGCTCTAATGTTGGAATTAGGGGCATGCTCCCATAAGAGATGGAGCCACCTGAAAGAAGCACGGGTAAAGAAGGAAGCGGCCGTGGCCGCTCTGATGGCCCACGTGTCAGACTGATGGGCCCTGCGTAGGGCAAGCTCGGCTCGTTTTTCCTCCGGCTTTAATGCCTCCAGTGCTTCACTGGGAATGGAGGACGAGGACGCTAATCCCACTATAGGTTCGTCTACCTCAGGAGTATTCAACAATTTTGAGAAATCAGGGGCCAAATTACAATATTTCCTGTCATATCCCGCGGGGGCAGGGTACACCACTGCAGACGCCCACTGTTTCTATACCAGGTCTGCAAACATGTGAGGAACTGGAATCACATCTGCCTTGACTACCGGCTGGTTGAAAATTAGATCTTCTGGTCCCACTTCTGAAGGAGTTGGAGTGGTAGAAGGGGCCGACTTGTTCAGGCGTGCAATGTTTTTTGCCTTAAACAAAAGTGATCTGAATAGTTGTGGGCGGAATAAGTCTGAAAATACCGGTTGATCAGGAATAAGGTCCTCATCCTCAGACATCCCACTTTCTAGGGGGTCTGCTTCTGACAAGACCGGGTCACTGTCATGTATTGATCCTGACCCAATCTGTTCCATTTGATCAATGTGATCCACTTCTTCTGCCTCCTCCTCCTCCTGCGGCCCCTGGAGGGGCATGTCCCCCTGAAACTGTACCTGGGTATAGTGTTGCTCCGATCTGGTCAATGATCTTAGAGATTGAGAATCATAGTCAGTGGTTACCGGGTGTTCCCTGGTCAGAACTGCGT